AGGGGGGAGGCGCTTCCCGGCCGTGCCCCGCGGACTCGGGCGGTTGCTCTGCTCTCCCGCGCGGGGCCTGCCCTGGGTCTGGGGCCGCCGTGGCGCGGGTGTGGGGAGATGGAGCGAGGCTTTGCACGAGGGGCGCCTCTTCCTGGTCGCCAGATCCCTGCTTGGACAGTGCCCGAGCCCTTCTTGCAAGTGGATTTCGGCGGGGTGCACTGGGCAGGGCTGAAAGCCCCTCCCTGGTTCCGGATCCATCCATGTTCTAGGTAGGAGATAATGTTGGGGGGAAGGGACCCTGCCGTGCTCCACCAGCACGCGTAAAAGTAGCAGCACTCGAGCGCTCTGTTAGTTGTGGCTGGATAACAGCATCGTCGTGCGTGCACCGCGGGTACCAGCCTTTCTGCAGGGCGCTGGGTTGCAGGCTCAAACTGCAGATGCAGGCGGAGTGGGCGTGAGATTTAAGGCCACGAAACAGGACAGTTGGCCCGAACTGGCGATTATGTCAGGAAGGGACATCTGGTTTGGGATGTCTGGAAAAAGTGCAGCTGGGCCTTGGGTATTGGGTCCTATTCCAATTGAGATCTGTTGTCAGGAATGATAGATCTTGACCAGGATGCCATTCCCATGCTTTTAGGTTGATAATACCTGTATTTATAAAGCAGTGCACATTTCTTTTTATGGTATGAAATCCTAAATGTTGAACGTGGCTGTGATAAGTTGGAATCATCCTGGGTTCTTAATTTGATTTGTTTGTTTGCAGAACAGCCTCTTCAAGGTCTAATTGGGTTCCTTGGCTAGCTCTGTCAAAACACTAACTTTTGTTCCAAGTCCAGCAAATTGGGGGGGTGGGGAGGAGCAAGAGGTTCTAAAAGTATCTGTAGTTAAACATGACATAGAGATGGTGTATATAACTTAATTTTTTTTTTTCCACAGGCATCATGGTGCGCATGAATGTTCTGGCTGATGCTCTTAAAAGCATCAACAATGCAGAGAAACGAGGAAAACGCCAAGTTCTTATTAGACCGTGCTCAAAAGTTATTGTACGGTTCTTAACCGTGATGATGAAGCATGGTAAGTCCTTAAAATCTGTTTGTATTTTTTGTAGAAGATCCTACAGTAAGGTGTTACTAGTTATAGTGGTAATCTCAAATATGTCCTATAGTTTGAGATTTGTTATCTCTGATATTTCCAGCTAAGGTTTATAATGATGGTGATAGTAAACACTTGTTTAGGTTAAGCATCTTAGAAAGGAAGAGTGCTGGGAAGGCTTGGGTCTGCTGCGAAAGCAGCAATGTAAATACTGGTAAATATCTTTACTCATGTAATTCGTTGGTCAGTATCTCGTACATATATTGTCTTTCCAAATGACTTGCATTTATTCTGTTTCTTTTTGCAAAAGTGAACTGTACAGATCTGCTCTGAGTAAGCTAATTGATCAGATTTTGATTTTTCTAGGTTAACCTACATGGAAAAATCTTGCACAGTTCATGATACTGCAAATGTTGCTGGGTTTCAGGTCTTATCTAGTGTAGTGTTTAAAACATGGGGGGAGGTCCTAGTTTTGTATTCAGTGTAAGGTAAGTATAGGGGCTTTCTGTAAGAAAATTTGAATAGAGTTAAACAGTTACACAGATAAAGGAAGGCCTTAGACCAAACCAAATAAAAGTATCCCTAAGCTGGTTGGGCATTTTGGTTTGGTTTACGTGATAACATTTTTACCATATATAATTGCTTCTGTACTTGTTGCACCAGTGTGACTTAGTGGAGGAGTGGGGGTTGTGTGTTGCTTTGTTTTCAATCAGCTTCCATGAGTAATCTGCTTGATTTATTCATTCATAGGTTACATTGGCGAATTTGAGATCATTGATGATCACAGAGCTGGGAAAATTGTTGTCAATCTCACAGGCAGACTTAACAAGGTAGGATTTTCATTTAGCACTGAAATCCTTTTATTTTCTAAATTATTTTAATCCAGCACAAGATACTTTTTCCAAATGTGCTGCTATAATCTCCCCTTGAGGTGATCTTTCTTTAAGTTATGATGGATGTATGCTTTGTATGGCTTTGTAAGTGGGGGTTGATTTAGATGTTGGTGGCTTCCTTCCTTCTTTCTGCCTGTGAATGAATAAAAGTGCATTTGAATAACCGCTGTAACAGTGAACATTCTCGCATAAGCTTTAGTTTGTGGAATGTGTCTTGCTAGCTCTCTCTTCTCTTTGACTTTTCCTGAGAGGTTTCTTTCTAGTTGAGTACTGGCTAGTCACACACACTTCTGCCCTGAGAAGTGATATCTCCCTTTGAGGCAGCAACATGATAATGAAACAGCTAATGAGGCTAAAAGTCTAATGCGCTGACATTTAAGGAACGTTTGTCATGAGGAAAAAAAAAGTGTGCTTATCCAGGTGATGCCTAATGGCAGTGAATCTGTAGAGAAGACCAGAAGTGTAGAACCCAGTCCATTCTGCCAATTGGTCTTTGCTTTGATTGAGGTTTTGAGCTGTTCATCCTTTAGTCAAGTCAGTGTTTCTCCTTTTCAATCAGGATGCTATATGGCTTTGTGTATGACATTCATGTAGTATCAGGTTGTCAGGAATTTTTTTTATAACTTGTTTGGAAATCCTCTAGACTGGATAAACTCATGATTTCTTTGACATGTGCCATGATAATAATAGATCCTTTCATTGTTTTAGAACTCCTTCACTTGAAACAGTTTAACTAGAAACAAAGCACTCTTAACATAGGAACTGTAGGAAACTAGGGCTGTAAGGGACCTTGCAAGGTCATCTGGTCCAGTCCCCAGCTCAAGGTAGGATTATACTTGACTGGACCATCTTTGCTGGGTGCCTGTCTACCCTGCTTTTCAAAGTTTCCAAGGATGGAGATTCCACAGCTTCTCTAGGTTGCCTGTTCCATTGTTTGACCACCATCATAGAAAGTTTCTCCTGTTCTCTGTCCTAAACATCCCTTGCTGCAGCTTGAGGACATTGCATTGTCCCCCTACAGGCACAGAGAAAATCCCATCTCCATCTTCTCTGTAATCACCCTTCAGGTATTTGAAGGTTGTTATAAAATCCCCCCTTAGTCTTCTCTTATTTAAACTAAATAATGTTAGCTCTTTGAGCTTTCCTCATAAGTCTAGTCTCCCAGGCCCCTGATCGTTTTTGTTGCTCAGTGCTGGACTTACCAAACTGTCCATGTACCATCTAGAAGTGTGGGGCCCAAAACTGGACACAGTTCTGCAAGTGAGGCCTTAGCAGTGTTGAATAGAGCAGAAGAATGACTTCCCTTGAGTTGCAAGTTACGCTCCTGTTAATACAACCCTGCATACTGTTGTCCTTTTTTACAAGAGCACAATGTTGACTCATTCGTCTTATGATCGACTGTAACCCCATGGTCATTCTCTGCACTGCTGAAGCCTGTCAGTTATTCCCTAGTCTACTTGTGCACGTGCTTATTCTGTCCTAGTTGCAGGACTTTGCATTTGTCCTTGTAGAATTTCATCTGATACATTGCAAACCATTTCTCCTGTCTATCCAGGTCATACTGGATCCTAGCCCTGTCCTTCAGAGTGTCTGCATTTCCACCAAACTTGGTGTCAGGTGCAAATCTTCTGAGTATGCATTCAGTCCTATTGTCCAAATCATCAATTAAGTTATTAAACAGTACTGGGCCCAGGACAGCCCCCTGGGGCATGTTAATTACCTTGTGTGTTAACATGTTTATGCAGGCTTGGGAGCAGAACAAAAACATTTATATGTGGGGGGGAGGAAGAAACATGCTCTCATAAATGTGTCTTACAGCTAGAAGTTACCAGGGTAGGGTGAAAACAGTCAAACTAAATATCAGGATTTGACGAGATGAAAACTTCTAATAGTTTTCTGTGCTAACTATTAAGTCAGTGGGTCTTATTTTCTGCTTTGGAATATGCTATTACCACAGTACTTTGTAGTTGGCTTTTTTTGAGTTCTTGCATTGGACTGATTTGAGCAAGTTGCTTTATTAGTTTCTTTCCCCCCTTTAGTTTCTCAAACATTGAAAACCTAAAAGCTTGAGGGCATCTAATTCTTTTGTTTTTATTTACTTTTTTGGTCATGATTCTGGGGTGATTTTAGTTTGGGTGAGAATATTATCAAGGCAGTGTTTACTCCCTAGTAGCAGGCAACATGCTCTTGCATTCTTCTACAACAGGCCGCACAAAGGTACAGCCATCTGAGTTTAGGTGCAGCAGCAACTTAGTTTCAGTCTTTGCAACTGAAAGGAAGAGAGCAGACAAAGCAGCTCAGACCTTAATAATTAGGTTCTTTATTCTCATCTGTCTTCATGAGAGCATGCACAGAGGATGGAGTAATGCAGGGCCGTGCTTGGATATCTTGTATTCTGCTGCCAAAAAGTTGGTTTCCTGGTTGCACAGTTAATCCCCTTGGAGTCAGAAATTTGAAGCAGAACTGAAGACTTTGAAATGCCATATCTCTGGCACCACTGAGCCTTGTCAATATTCAGCCTGTATTGGGCTTTTGTTTTATAGTGTGGTGTGATCAGTCCCAGATTTGATGTTCAACTGAAGGATCTGGAAAAATGGCAGAATAACCTGTTGCCCTCACGTCAATTTGGGTAAGTGTCAGGCTCGAATTGTTGAAGTTCATGGTGCAAATTTTTTTGAATTGTTCTAAGTGAAATAACTGCACAAAAAAACTAGTTTTAATGAGTGAGTTCTGTCTCCTCCCCTCCCCTGTGTCTTTTGTTAGGCTAACTTTGAGTTTCAAACTTTTCTCCCTGACACTTGTTTTAATCACTTCTTCAGGAAATTAAACTAGTTTAAATGCACGCAAGTATGCTTTTATCTACTGCTAGAAGTAGCAATAATATAGACGGTGGCTTTAGCGCAAGTGACACTAAGACAAAAATGGTTAGCCAATTTTAAAGGATCTTCAATGTGATGAATGGGTGGTGGTCTCTAATTTGGTAACGGGGGGATACTGAAGGAAAATAATGTAAATCATCAGGTACTTACAGGAGCCAATATTTTAATCCACTTCCACACAGTTTTGAACTTCTAGTATGAATTCACTGAGATTATTTTAAGTGGGCCTTGATTATTTATGTTGATGTAGGAAAAATCTCATTTTCAGGTTTGTGAAAAAAATCTGTAGATGAACATGGCAATTCCAATGCATATCCATTCACTAGTTTCACTTTAACTAGTCTGCTATTATATATGGCAGTATACTGAGATTGTGAATATTAATAAATGGATTAATGTCACCTAGTGCGCATCAAACTGGCTGTGTTAATGTGTGAATGAAGTATGTTGATTACCATAAGTAGATGTCAAATACCTAAAGTTACTTCAGTTGGCTGCAGATCAGAGGAGTTCTAACTTCCTGATATTCAGCTATATCAGTGTGAATAGTGTTGGAAAGCCTGTTGAGTATTAGAGCCCCCAGAATGTTACTAGCTATAAATCTGATGTAGGTATACCCTCCACCCCCAAGTGTGGGGATATAAAGAGAAAATTACTGGCATAAATAAGGTACACTTATCTTTAAAAACATTTCAAAATAGTATCTTTATGGGGGACTCGTCTTGGGTAGTTCAGAATTGCATTTCCATGGGTTGGGAATTGGCAAAAGAGTCTGTTCTGTTTTACACCAAAAAAATAGAGAACAAGATGCATGACTGGAAGACGCATTTATCATAATATGCTATTGAGATTATTTTTTTTTTCCTTACTAGGTACATAGTGCTGACAACCTCAGCTGGTATCATGGACCATGAGGAAGCTAGGCGAAAACACACAGGAGGCAAAATCCTGGGATTCTTTTTCTAAAACTTGTAAACCAGGCATACTAATAAATTGTTCAAATGGACTCTGGTGTTTGTAGTCAATATTTTAGTGGTTTAGAATGCTTTACCTGGGAGCACATACATTAATGCTAAACCCTTCAGTATGCTCTGTGCAGTTCAAGTAATGGAAGACATTACATTGTAGCTGAATCACTTCTACAAGACTTGGCTTCAGCTTGATTCTACTTGCACCTTCAATGTTACAAACAGTAGGATAATATTCATAACCTGTTCCTTCCAGTTCAAGAAGAAACTACTTGCAGCCGGTTACTCCACAATGCCAGACTATCCTCATTATTGGAAGTCTATTGAGCAGTTCACCACTAGAGCCTGTCACTGGCTCACCTCTTGGAAGCATACATACCTACTGTCTACATTGGATTATTGCATCTTCAGGTTAGGTACTATAAGGTACTGTAAGGCTTGCTGGAACATCTTCAGGTTAGGTACTGTAAGGCTTGCTGGAACAGTATGTTAAGGTTGTCAGGAAGACAGTGCTTGAGGGAGTAACAATAGGTTATATGCTTTGAAATATGAAATGTGATTCTCTGAAGTTTCTGCTCCTCCAGGAAATAAAGTAGTGGGTTAAATTTGTTCCCTGTTTTCCTTTGGGTCTGATTGTTTAATTTTGGGAGGAGGAGGAAATGGGGGAAGCAGCATCTTTGCTAATTTCTGTACCTTTTTGAGAATGCAGCTCTGCAGATTCTGGGTGTGTTGAACTTGCTCAAATTCTAGGATTTTTTTAGATTTTTTTTTTTTCCTACTGATAATACATTGGCCAGTAGCAAAAATTGGTTTAGCATCTAGCTATCACATTATTTTTTGGAGTTCAGGGACCCTAATATGCTAGGCATTGAAAAGCCATGCAGGACAAATGACCAATAAGTTAATTTGAGACTAGCAAAGAACAGGAAAGAGGCATTAACATCTCAGAAATTACTTGCTAGCTTGTTCATGTTATCTGTCCAGAACCACTGTTAGACTCTTAAATTGAGCCAGAAGCAGTGTATTCAGTTTCATTTTGAAATGGTTATGGAAGTATTTCTTTGGTATGATCATGTATAACATTTACCTCCTGGTAAAATTTACATTTTAGTGTAAATTAGATTGAGATCTTCCATTACAAAATTTTCTTGCATCTCTTGTATAGGATGGAAACTAATATTGAGCACTAACCTGGTAGTAGATTGCTATTGCTTACTCTGAGTTACACAAGAAAATGGAATTCTATTAAATGTTCCTTTGAAGAAGAAAACAGGATAGCAGTATGTACTCCTAAACAAGCTGTATTCAAGTGTGTGTGTGTTCTTAAATATGTGTAGCTGCCTGTTTAAGCTGTCTTGTTTAACCAAACCCATGTTGGTTACCCCTCTGCTGGTCTATAGTTTCCCCGGGTCTGCCTTCCTCCCCTTCTCAAAGATTGGGATGACGTTAGCCCTCTTCCAATCCTCCAGAACCTGACCCAAGCACCATGAGCGCTAGTATATCTTTGCCAGTGGATCGGCTATGACCTGCTAATTAGTTCATTACTCATGGGTGGAGTCCCTCCAGTCCCAGTGATTTGAATACGTCCAGTCCCTCCAAGTATCTTTTTACTGTGTCAGCACTGACTGTTGGTCGGCTGATGTTCCCTTTGTTGGTGTCCGTGATGTATGTTGAGGGTTCGGCTAGATTTCCATTTAAGACTCATTGAAGAGCTCTGCCTTGTCCCTGCTATCCGTCACTAAGCCCCCCTGCCCATCCTGTATGGGTCCTATGCTACCCCGCACCCTCTTCTCGCTCCCAACGTACCTAAAGAAGGACTTTTTATTGTCCTTAATCACTGATGCTAGCTTGAGTTCTAGAGTTGCCTTGGCCTTCCTGACTGACTCCCTGCAGATGTGGGCCAAAGAAGTATACTCCTCTTTGCTAGCTATCTCCTGCTTCTACTTCCTGTACACCGTTTTTTTTGCCCATAAGGTATCTTGGATGCCCCTGGTTAGCCAGAGGGGCTTCCTTGCCCCCTTTTCTCTGCCATGGGATTGACTCCCCCATGACTACCATATCTCTAGACCTCAGCCTCTTTGAGCTGCTTGGAAAATTTCCAGTCTAGCTTATTGTCCTGGTGCGGTGGCCTGTAGTAGACCCCTACCACCAGATCCCTTTTACCCTGAGCCCCTTGAATTGTAACCCACAGAGTCTCTGCTTGACCACACTCTGACTCTAATTTGATTAGGGAAGATGTGTACTGTTCTTTGACAGAGAGAGCAGCTCCCCCACCTTTTTTCCCTACTCTATTTCTCCTATGCAACCTATAGCCCTCTATTCCCACCACCCAGTCATGAGAAGAGTCCCACCAGGTTTCAGTTAGTTCCACTAGGTCAAAGTTGTTGCTCGCTAGCAAGAGCCCTAGGTCCTCCTGCTTGTTTCCTATGCTTCTGGCATTTGTGTATATACACCTAATTCCTCTGGTGGCTGTCCCTGGTCCCCCCCTTAAACTGCTGTCTAATAGGATCTTTGCTACATACCTGGGCTGATCTTGTGGGTGTCTCTTAGTTTGGTGTTCTGTGGCTCTCTCCATACTCATCCTCCCCTTCCCCTGATGAACCTAGTTTAAAGCCTGCTGAAGGAGATCAGCCAACCTGAAAGAGAACACACGCTTGCCTTTGGGGGAGAGGTGAAGCCCACCCCACCCGAGCATGAGGGTAACCAACATGGGTTTTTAGCAGGCATGTCTTGCCTCACTAATCTAGTTTCCTTTTACAACACGGCCACCAAACGTTTAGATGCAGGAGTTGAGGTGGATGTTATTTGTCTGGACTTCAAGAAGGTCTTTGACACGGTATTCCCATACCATCCTTATAAATAAACTGAGGGGATTTGCCTTGGATGATTACATGGTCAACTGGGTAGCAAACTGGCTCAAGGGTTGCACTCAGAAGGTGGTAGTAGACGGGTCGGTGTCAACCTGGAAAGATGTGGGCAGTGTAGTCCCTCAGGGCTCAGTTCTGGGACCGGTGCCATTCACCATCTTCATCAGTGATCTGGATGAGGAGGTGGGAAGCTCCCTGTTCAAATTCACGGACGGCACAAAATTATGGGGTACAGCTAACACCCTGGAGAGGAGGAACCAGATCCAGGCCGACCTAGACAGGTTGGAGAAGTGGGCAGAGAGCAATAGGATGCAATTCCATAAGGACAAGTGCCAAGTGCTCCATCTAGGGAGGAAGAACTGCCATCATACCTACAGGCTGGGGGGCGAGCTTCTCGGCACCACTGCAGCAGGAAAAGATCTTGGAGTCGCTGTTGACTCCAGGATGAATGTGAGCCGTCAACGTGATGAAGCAGTTGGCAGAGCCAATCGCACCTTGTCATGCATCCATAGGTGCTTCACAAACAGGTCCAAGGAAGTGATTCTCCCTCTCTACGCACCACTGGTCAGACCACAGATGGAGTACTGTCTTCAGTTCAAGCGGGATGTGGACAACCTGGAGAGAGTCCAAAGAAGAGCCACTCGCCTGATTGGAGGCCTGTAGGGAAGGCCCTACAAGGAAAGGCTAAGGGACCTTAAACTCTTCAGCCTCTCCAAGAGAAGGCTGAGAGGGGACCTTGTGGTAGTGTACAAATTCATAAGGGGAGAGCAACATGAAGTGGGTGACTGTCTACCACCTGGAACGACAAGAAACAATGGCCATTAGCTACTAGAGAGAAGGTTTAGGCTGGACATTAGGAAGATGTTTTTCACTGTCAGGGTTGCCAGAATCTGGAATGGGCTCCCAAGGGAGGTGGTGCTTGCCCCATCCTTGGGTCTTCAAGAAGAGACTGGACAGGCACCTGGCTGGGATCACATGACCCCAGGGTTGGTGACTCTCTTCTTGCCTTCCAGGGGCAGGGGGTCAGACTAGATGGACCACTGAGGTCCCTTCCGACTCTGAGTCTATGAGCCTAGAGGTGATGGTTGAAGTTCACATTCTGAGAATGAGGTAAATAACTAGTAACAGCTGTTTAAATGCAGCAAAGTGTTTTATAAAGGGGTTCATTTGGGGTAGTGACCAAGTGCAAGTGATTTACATTGAGAAGAGTTGAGAGTAATCCAGAAGCCAGACTACTTAGCTTTGAGAAATTTATGTGAAGATCATCTTCAGGCTCTGTTCTCTTTAAACCCTTGATTTGTGCATGTTCTCTCCAGACTAAATGGTTCTAATACAATACCTAAGCTACGGCAATAGGCTTTCCCTTGATTTGAAGTTACCACTGTGCTTTCAGGCTTGTTAATTGGAGAACTGTTTTTCTTTTAAAGTGGTTTCTGCAAGCAAAGACTGAATGGAGAGGTGCCTGAGGAGTGTATCTACTACTTGACCTGCCTTAGAAATTAATATTCTCTAAAGATGCTGTTGTGTCCCCTTTTCAAATTTCTGATGTAGAAAAATACCATTAATATTTATGGGTGACTTCAGTTTCAGGTAGAGCTGGTTCAACGTATTGGAGCATATTTGAGTTTTCATAATGCAATCCTGCTGATGCTAGTCGCGCAGCACATGGCTTCCTTTCCAGTCAATTGTTTCTCCAACAGATGCAATGGAAGGCCATATAGGCAAGCTGTTGGCACTTCAAGCACCAGTCCCTAGTAGATACTATCGTTGACTATTTCAGGCACGGGTGTCTACTAGTAGGAGGACTTGGGTGCCTATATGCTGATGCCAAGAGCATAGGGAACAAGCAGGAGGAGCAAGCTCTTCTACTCTCCAGTGTGCATTATGATCTAATAGGGATTATGGAGACCTGTTATGACTTCTCACATGACTGGAGTGTAGCTATAGAGGGCTACACCCTGTATAGAAGGGACCGGGTGGGGAAGAAAGGTGCAGGTATTGCTCTCTATGAAAGAGCAGTACACCTCCCTGGAGCCTGACATGGGATCCAGAAATAGACAGTTTGAAACCCTCTGGGTCAAGTTGTGGGGTGGGGGGTGGCAAGAGAGACCTAACTGTAGGTCTATACTACAGACCACCAAACCATGGGGAGAAACTCGATCTGGAGTTCA